GCGAACACGATCCAACTCGTGCCATATTGGCCAGACAATGCATAAACATGGTTTCTGTATGCCGAGGCCGATTTTCGAGAACAGGGTGTCTCAGATCCTCATTCTCGATTTCTTGCTGTCACACGGTCACTACCGCGAGAATTAAACAGGTGTGTTACAGCAAACGTGTTTAATCCTGAAGTAAGTGATCCTTATGCACTTCTTAAAGTCGCGGTCTTGAAGAAAAGCGATCTGACAGATCGCCAGCGTCTAGACGAATTGCTTCGTAACATCGAGCTAGGCAGCAATTCAGCTACTGAAGTCCTCGCACGCATGCGAGAAGTAATCGGTGCACGAACATTCGACAATGGCCTTTTCCGAGAACTGTTTCCCTCGAAACTACCACAACCGGTGCAAACCGTGTTGGTGACACTGCAGTCAGTCCCACTCGATGACCTGGCAGCCTCAGCAGATAAAATACTGGAGATTTCCAGCAGACCTGTCTCCAACGTATATTCTGTCCGTGACAAACCAGAGCGCCAGGATTCAGAGGTGACAAAGCTGTGCAACTCTGTGAAACAGTTGCTACGATCTCGAAGTCCTAGCTCACGTAGCACTTCACAGAAACGCACGTTGGCGCATCGCAGCAACTCGCTTGGTGGCCCCAAAACTAAACCTAACAGGGTGGAAAACCCTGAATGGTGCTGGTTTCATAACACTTACGGAGACGAAGCCAGAAAATGTTGGAAGCCATGCCGTTTTAAGAAGGACACAAACTCGGGAAACGGTCACGCCGGCACGTGCTCACGGCAACCGTAGCCGGCGGAAACAGCCGTTTGCTCTACGTCACCGACATTAAAACGAAAGTCCGCTACCTCGTCGACAGCGGAGCAGAAGTTAGCGTTCTTCCAGCAACGACAAAGGAGCGTCATCACGACCCATACTTCAATCTTCAAGCAGCCAACGGCAAGGCAATCGCGACATTCGGGAGACAGTATGCCTACCTCAACTTAGGTTTACGTAAACCTATCCACTGGATCTTCCTCCTTGCTGACGTTTCTATGCCCATCATTGGCATAGATTTGCTAAACCATTACGATCTACTCGTAGATGCTCGCCGTCGACGACTGATAGATAACAACACAAAGTTATCTATTGGCGGCACCACCTATGTAGGTCCGAGTTTAGCCATCGTTAGAACCAAAAAATCAGGCGACGCGTCCTACCAAGCAGTTTTGGAGAAATATCCAGAGTTGCAGCAACCGAAGCACACTCTTCCGTGCATAACCAGCAATGTTATGCATCACGTCACAACCACAGGTCCACCTGTGGCATCCAAAGCGCGCCGTTTAGCCCCCGATAAGCTCAAAACGGCGAAAAATGAATTCGACCACATGCTCGAACTGGGCATTATCAGACCGTCAAACAGTCCTTGGGCATCGCCATTGCACATGGTTCCCAAAAAGGATAGCAACGACTGGCGTCCAACCGGTGATTACCGAAGGCTTAACGCCAAAACAACTCCGGACTGCTACCCGATACCTCACGTTTACGGTTTGACTGCAACCTTATGCGGAATGAACATTTTCTCCAAAATCGACTTGGTCAAAGCGTACAACCAGATACCTATGGCAGCAGAAGATATCGCGAAAACAGCCATTATTACTCCTTTTGGCCTGTTTGAATTCCTGCGCATGCCATTTGGTCTTCGGAATGCAGCACAAACATTCCAACGCTTTGTGGATGATGTCTTCCGTGGTTTGAATTTTGTTCATGTCTACATCGATGACTGTCTAATTGCGAGTCCAGATAATAAAACACCTCAAACATTTGGACCTCGCATTCGAAAGACTTAAAAAACATGGCATCACAGTCAACTTACAGAAGTGTGAAATAGGAGTTGAATCACTCAGCTTCCTTGGGCATACCATTGACAACAAAGGTATACGCCCATTGAGAGATAAAGTGGCGGCTATCACAAACTATCCAGAGCCGACCACTGTGAAACATCTCCGCACTTTCAATGGCCTGGTAAGTTATTACCGAAGGTTTATCCCTAACTGTGCCTCTGTCATGAGACCACTCACAGATCTACTTCGAGGGGATAAGAAGTTCGTGACTCTGGACAACGTGACTAGACTTGCTTTCTCTAAAGTCAAGGAAGCCATTTCGAACGCAACCATGCTTATGCATCATGACCCCAATGCTCCTTTGAGTATTGCTGTTGATGCATCTGATTCAGCAATTGGAGCAGTTTTGCAACAGTTGACTGACAACCAGTGGCAACCGTTAGCCTTTTTCTCGAGGCGGCTGCAAGAGGCGGAAACAAGATACAGTATATTTGGTAGGGAACTCCTAGCTATGTACTGTTCTGTACGCCACTTTCGACATTCGGTGGAAGGTCGTGATTTCATTATTTTCACAGACCACAAACCGTTAACCTTTTCCCTCAGCTCGGCGTCTGACAGATGCTCCTCGCGCTTGTCGCGACAGCCGGATTATATTTCCCAGTTTGCGTCAGACATCCGCCACATTTCTGGAGCGGATAACTCCGTAGCCGATGCACTGTCACGAATAGCTCCGATAAATCATGTCGAGGGCGTTGATCTCGTTGAACCAGCTCGGCGTCAAAAGGAAGACCTTGGGCTGCATTATGAGTTGTCGTCCACAAATCTCAAGCTGCGACTTTGTCCGGTTGGATCAGACAAGGATACAATTTTGTGCGGTGTCCCTGCCAGTCAACCACGCCCAATAGTTCCGAAGAGTTGTCGACACAACGTCTTCAATACAAACCCTCGTAAACTTTGCCTCTTTTACACCAATTTTTGTTACCATACAACGAAACGTTTTTAAAAAAAGTGAAAATAAGCGTAAGTTTTTATTTCTCGATATGTTTACATATAAATAATTCCCATTTTTACGAAACGTCTTAGTGGTATTAAAGACTTTTATTCATATTCCAGGTGCAACGAGCACTGAACGGAAGGTCATAAGGAGCTGGGGACCGCGATCGACGTCCAATTCGGTTTATCGTATTTTATTATTTAATTGCCACGACACCCTAGAATAAGTTCAGACAACCAGGGGCCACTTCACGCAGTGAGCCCATCGGAAGAGTTTTACCAGTGGAGAAACCACTGGGTTTTTACTTCCGGCTGGTATCGTCTTAGGTTCCTCACGGACCCACTAGGGGGGGGGAGTGATTTGTAGCGTCATACACTTCCCCAAAATCAGTAGCCTAGGGTTTCAAGACTTTCGACATTGATGCTGACCTTCATAGTTTAACTGAACTCGCTAAGCTGAAGGCACCCGGTCAAGCATCCTCGCCATTTGGCACGCTGTCGTGTTACGTTGCATTGCTTGTATTCGACTCTCTAGCCAGTTAGTTGGAACGCATCGGTATTTTGGCACAACCATCCAAATATACTACTCCATCTGACTACGCTATCGTGTTCTTCCTTGGTCTCGTATTCGTGGGTATATAACAAGTCCGAATAATTAGTGATTGGCCCTTGCATCTGTCAAGTTCGCATCAGGACATATCCTAAACTGGTAAGAGCTGGTTAATTTATCTCTCATTATAACTTAGGTGCTATATTAAGGCTCATGGAACGTGAACATTTGATATCTAACGCTTATGGTGCGAGTGGAGATACCTCTCAGGTCTAGAAGCTGGTTGTTTCGTTGGTTTTTACTACTTTGGTGGAGAAAGTTGTCTGTTCAGCTCACCTTCTCGTTGCATTGAGTGTAGTGATAGTGTGTCTGTGGGCACTGCTTTGTGAATTGTGGATTTTCTCTTGCGGGAGGAGCAGCGAGGTAGCTATAGACCTCTTGCAATTCCTGTCTTCATAGACACCTGCTAGTAAGTACTTAGAGATATCCTGAAACTGTAGAGAGATTAAGTTGTTGGGGAAATTGGTAGATTAAAGAGTAGATGCAATGACTCATATTTCTGTTAGGATTAATTTCCTCAGGGGAGTGTGTTTCACGGTGTGGGCTGCAGGGTGGGGCTGAAGGGGAATCGAAAATTATAGTTTCAGTTGCTGCTGGGATATGTTTGAATGGTTTTCCAGCATTCCTCTAAGTAAGCTTGATTTTGATGTGCACTCTTCTATTTAAGGGGATCGCTGGATGTGGTGTGCTCCGTTAGAGAATTGGCAAGGTCCAACTGTTTTCTTAGCACATAGGGAAGTGTTGTAATAGCTCAGGGTTCCAGCTGGACTGTGATTCTTGGAACCATAATGCCCCCTTTAACGGATACATAGTTTTTAGGTATCTGATAGGTCACCTGTTTATCTTCCACAGCTGTTGGTGAATAAGTTGGGATGTCTTAGACGTTGTATGAATCTTTTTTCTATTTGTTCGAAAACCGAATTGGTCTGTCTAATCTGAAGATTTTTAGGTGCTTGCATCTTCCTCAAACAGAGTGGAGACCATGATGTTGAAAGTCTGCTACTGTAGTCAGACTCGGGTTTGGTAAATCGTGATTAAAAATTCCGAGATTAGGACCCTTAATTTTAAAATGCTTCAATGCACGTTAACGGAAACCATAGTAAAAATTGATTGACGACATTTACATTTGTAGTCATTGTCGTATGGTTGGTACTGGCATGTAGTGAGTTATAGAAGGCTATTTTTATTTACAGCTTCACAGGCAATCTGGTATTGATAAAATAGTTGAGCGTATACCTAATTTTCATTGCTCTAGGTGTTTGAAGACACTTCACGTCACTAGATTACTTTGAGTCCTAATTTTTCGATTTCTAGACTCTAAAAAACCATCCAAAGAGCTTAATCAATCAAAAAACGTTGGACAAACACCACGTAAACATTTGACAAAGAAGTATACTGGTATTTTTGGGTTTGTTTAAATGTGTTTTCTGAGTAGCGATCAAGGTTGTTCTCAAGGTCACTGCCTGTGAACGTACGATTAATCTGGTTATCGGACATTTACATATTGATGTAGCAGCCGAAACCTAGGAAAATAAATGAGCACCTTTGATAAAATATACCGAAGTGTCATGCCAGCGACATTCTTTAGCAAGGGTTGGGGAAAACCAGACATCCTGCTGAAGTAGGATTATATACTAATTAAGTAGATACCTGCCACTATAGTCTGATTGAAAATATGAAGATTGTTAAAGAGCGTGATAGATACTGTTCAGTTAGGGTCGCGGCTAATATCAATATAGAGCAGGTATGCTGCATCTGTTAATGTTTTTCGTCAGAGGACTGAGAGCAGACGCACTATACAAATTGAAGGATCATTCTTGTCACCATTTGATACCATCGTTCCGGATGCACTGAAGGAGAATAACAATGTTGCTAGGTTTATAGAAGTTATATTTTGTATTTTCTAGGTTTCAGATGGTCATCCCGAAGTCCTGGTCCACAAATTACCGCCCAGTTTGTATACATTTTGCTGGCACTGGCGACCACGTAATTTCTGCTTTGCATATTCCTATTGTTGTATTAGAATTACTCTAGGCGGAGATTATTTCTAGCAAATCAGTTAATTCAAGATGGTATAGCCTCACTTATTATAATGAATCCGTTTTATTCCACCCGGAAACCTAAAGACCAAAAGTTGGTTTATTGCGTTTATTATTTCATGTTGTATATAAAGCCAGTATATTTATAGTCTGTGTTTCATGTTATAGAAGATTTATGTCCTATGTGCCACTAGGATATTTCACTGCATTGAAACGACTAACTTTTGTTTCAGCTGCGAAGTACTGCAGCAGTTAGCTATTTCTTCACGGTATCGCATTGTTATGGCTAGATTTTGATATTCTAGCGTTTGATTTACATTTTACGGACTATCACAGAAAGAAATACTTTCAGAGCATACTTACTATACACGTTGGTTTCTTCCTAAGGGCCAATTTCGTGAGATTTTGTTAGACATCATTCTCAAGAATCATTAAAGGAATCAGGTCTGACATTTGCTTTGCTAATTTGTTGATCTTTTCGTTTTTATCAGGTCGTTTTTGCATTTCCGAGCCTCAGTTACACTGTGGAACTAAAGTATATCTTTTTTCTTCCCTACAGTCACTACGCTCTTTAGAAAGCTCTATTTTTAAACTCTCCAGGTAAATAAGTTTCAAAGGGGTTTGAGAAAATGCCAAAAATTTCACGAAATAAAGTTTCTTGTTGACTGAATCGCTTGTCAAAAATTAAACATAGTTACATTCTAGGCAATTTTCTTTATTAGCTTCATTGTATTCGGTGCATACAGGAAACTAGGCAGGATAGTTGCATCTTTATGTATAACATGTCCAGTCATCAAGACGTGCTCCTTTTTGTGTTATAGAAGTTATCCTGATGAATAGACGAATTTCACCGTGCGAAATTTTTTAGGAAAGTGTTGAGCTTTTAACATTGACTGGAAAACACGAATTTCTTCCAATTAGAATGAATTTAACGGAATCGGTTTTCCTTACCATCTTTATGTCTAGGGGTTCCAGTTTGAACTTTGTTTCCGACTTATTCGTTATGGGAGGAGCTCTAATCATGGAATGCAGTGCGTTGCTAGAATGGTGTGAGCACAATGGTTATGGACCTTTCGCACTCCATGGAATTTCAATGGGGGGTTATGTAAGTTTGAACATTTTGGTTTGTTTTATGTCAGACAATGTTTCTGTTCATATTTGAAGTTCCTGTCGACTAAAAAAGTGTTTTTCTGAACACATAAAGCAAGGGGTCACCGTTTTACCCCCGTCTGGCTGGGACTATGAGAGTGCTACCTAAAGGCTTTTTTGCCTGCGTTAGCGTACCCATTTGTGCATTGAAATCATCTGCCACGAAAACCACTTCTTAGCGTTTGGATTGCAGCAGAAAACTAGGCAGTCTTCTGTGGAACTGATCTTTCATTTCGTCAAAACTGCGGTGGTTGCGTTGATGAAGATTGTAAGCAGACAGTGGTAATTTTCGTTCATTTGAGTGCTTACCGCAGTGTTCAGTTGAACAACACAGGTTGGTGACTGTCGACTGAGATCCAGTCAATTAGTGCACTTTCCTCCTTACAAATTAATACTACCCATACACCTACAAGACCGTGAGAACTGGTCATCACTTCCATAAGTCTCGAGTTTTGCAGATCCATCATATCAGCTAAGTGCAGTTGGGTGAATAACCGCACTTGAGTCCTGTATGCGTGTCTCATAAACGCAACTCACGTCCATTGACTGAGATGCCCGAGTTTTAGCTAAGGCAGCTTGTTATCTGATTTGACAGAGGGGGGGGGGGAGGGGAAACTGGATGATTCAGTGTGTAGTTTTGAATGTGGTTTCATGCAACTGGGGATATTGTTTTGTGAGAACAAATCATTATCAAGGGATGTAGAGATGGGAGAAATTAAAGATGACGTAGGAATACCGAACAAGAGACGCGAAGGAGGATTAAAAGTTGGAGATGTTGAAGGCTGATAATGATCTGAGGGAACTTGAGTGCTGATAGAGTTGTGAGTATGGTCGACACTTTCCGGCTACCCACAACTTTGAAGTTTACTTCCTCTTGAAGTACCCAGAAAAAAAGTTGAGTCAGTAATATTGGAGCATGACCACAGAGCCCAAGGGATATCTTCTAGGAGCTAGTCACATGCAACCTTGTTGGGAGTTCAATATTTAATCTTGTCTTATATACAGGTAGCTAACCAAACCGCCGGAAACGAAATACCACAAAGCGGAAATGAGTGTACTCCTTTTGGAACCGATCTGTTTACATCCCATCCTTCACACAGGGAAGGGAGCATCAACATGCTGTTGCTGGTCATTTATGGTGGACACCTTACTGCTGTCAACCGTTCAATCAGCAATATGACTTCGTTTGCGTAACTCCACCATATCGTAGCTACTAACACTATAACGGTACCTGACTTTTATCTTACCACCTTCCAACAGACCTTCTGGTATAGTAGGACCTCAAGAAACATGTTCGCACTAGCAAGGCCCCTTGAGTCATTTTGGTATGCAAACCCAATCACCACGTCCGGTTGGGTTTGGAGGAAACAGCACTTCAGAAAAGGGTACCTCTCGTACACATCACTAATACTGGTTTAAGTGGCTTTCTTCAAAATGGTTTTATTGGTTTAGGTTGAATTTAGCCATATTTGTAATTTCATAACCACGAGATGGAAATCGAACACAGTGTTATGAGCTTTAGTCTGACATATCGCTTTGGGATTCTCTCGTAAACCTTTGATATCCAAAATAAAATAACTTTCAGAGGTCTCTTAGCTGCTGGATTATTTTGTTTTCTACTGGATTGAGATCTTTCTATTTATATTCACACTGTTTTGGGTCGGTATAGTAATGGAAAAATTTGTAATCAACGGAAGTTGGAGGTTGACCCTTGTCTGAGATAATGTGTTGCCTAAATGGTCTCGAAAACTCCAAGTCGTTATAGTCAAGCGCTGTTTTAGGCAGGAATTATTGTGGAAGAGTACCAATTAGAAACGTTACTATTAAAATTCACTTGTAAACGAGTTGTGAAAGTGTAATGCCTATAAAGATGAAATTACTGAGTCAGTTAAATATTGGTCGAAAGAAGTAGAAGTAGCAATAAAAAGCAGTGGAAGATGGGAAGAAAGAGTGAAATGATGAGATTAAATGTAGCAGTTAGGACGATGATAATGTATGTTTGCATCTGCACCACTGACATCTGTCCTGAGCCATATCAGCTAAAGTCTCCAACCACTGGTTTCTCTTGTCGCGCGGACCTCAACCGGCTAGTCTGCATTGCCCTACGTGGCTCAAATCAACAATCAGGATTTCGTACATTGATGCCGCCTCGGCTCTTTTTCCAGCCTGAACCGACTTCGGCCAACTTTGTGCGACGAGGCGGTCGGTGATTAGGCATACGTAACACATGTTCCAGCCATTTCAGTCGGTGCAGGTTCACAACCGTATCAACTGTCTTGCCTCTCCTGCCTAAAACTCTACGTCTGACTTCTGCATTACTCACGTGGTGACACGACGAAACACGGCCTATGCTACAAAGGCAACAGTGGTCAAACACCTGGAGTCTTCTCATATCTTCCACCTTCAATGGCCATGTTTCACAGCCATACAGTAGAACAGAGCGGACTGCTGTGCAGTATACGTGACCCTTAGTAGACAGTCAGATATCATGGTGGCGCCATAGGTGGTGTAAGTTGGCGAAAGCCAGATGAGCCTTTTCTATTTGTGCAGAGATTTCATCGGCCTCTGAGCCACCGGAGGAGGTCTGATCCTACTTCTTAGGTAAGTGAAGTGGTCGACACACTCAATCACTACACTCTCTGTTGATTAGCTGTGGCACCATTGAAGACCAATACTGGAGCAGCAATTTGCATTTGGGTGGTGATGACCGCATCCCAAGTATTCTCAAATTACCACTCAAAGCAGACTTTGCATCTTGTCAGCGTCTTCACCTAACAGAACTATGTCATCTGCAAATTTTGGGTCTGCCGAAAGTTCTCCTGTAACCAGGTCAATTCCTGTATAGCTAGATGACGAAAGGAGACCTCCATTAGAACATCTGTGATAAAATTAAACAGAAATAAAGAGAGTGGATATCCTCGGCGGATACCACTCGATGTACACAACTCACCCAATATTTCACCATAGGCTCTAACACACCGACGGATGTTCAAGTAAAGAGCCTTTAATAGAGTGGCGTACTTTGTTCGACACCCCTTTCGGTGAAGACATTGCCATAAGACTTTTTGACCCACGGAGTTGAATGCCGCCTTCAGATCGAGAAATGCAGCTGCTGTTGGGCATAGTAAGCGTGCCTGGGTTCCAGAACCTGGCGGAGTTTTAATATTTGGTCGATACACCCATGGCCAAGTCTGAAGTCTCCCTTGTTTTCTCAGGTTTGTTGTTACCGAGCTCCACTTGGGTGTCTAATGATTATAGGACCTAGAATCTCAGGCACTATATTCGTCAAGGTGATTCCTCTGTGGTTATCACAAGAGGACTTCTCGCCTTTCTTGAATACTGGGATAATCAGTGATTGAGACCAGTCAGAGAAGATCATATTTGACTTCCATACACTAGTTAATACTTCAGTCGACTAAAATCACTCTATCACTATCCTTTTATACCTCAGGTCCTAGTTCATGCGGACCTGCTATCCTTCCTCGTTGAAAGTTACCCACCGCTTTCTTGACTTCCGCTAGTGTTGGGGGGCCTATCTCAATGTTCCATTCAGGATGCGACTGGATAGCGGGCAACGCAATAATAGCTGAAGACCAGTTAAATTGTCCCTCGAAATGTTCCACCCATCATTCCAGTCGTCTCCTTTGCGAGTGTATCGCGAACCCATCCTTCGTTATGGTCTCACTAACCGTAGACCTTTCCGCCCCAATTTCTGTAATAAGTCTAAATAATTCTCTGCTGTTACCTATCACTGCTGCCTAATCCATCGCTTTAGCCTTCTCTGACCAGTACTGCTCGCGGTCATTGCGTAAACTTTTTGTCAGTCTACGTTTGAGTTGCGTTTGCTCCTTATTCTACTCAGAGCCTACTGGGATGCGTTGGCGTGCATCCATTAGTTCGAAAAAAGCTGCTGATATCCAGTGGCTCCTTTAAACCACTCTTTGGAAGTCGGCTACGGTCTTCAACATTGTTTTTACAGCAGACCAGAGATGGTACCAAGCTTCTGGATGAGTGATAGCGTTCTATTTCGATGACTGCCTAGCCAGTTCCTCAATGAAAGCAGCCTTAATATTCTCATTATCGAGCTCCACTCGTAATGGTCTAGTTGCTAAAGTTTTTCTAGGTCAGACATATGCGTGCTCGAACCAACGCGCGGTCGCTATCCAAACACGTGCTCCAGAAGGAGTGGCGGTCTTCCACCAACCTTTTCCAGCGATAACTGATAACGATATGATCTATCTGTGTTAATCGCCGAGTTGAGCTCGGGGGACACCTCGCCAGACATTATCTTTCTTTATATCTAAATTTTGTGCTACCTAGAAACAGACAGTTGTGTGAGCGCAGTTGTAGTAGGCGATCACCGTTATCTGTTCGTTCAGCTGGAATTCCGGAAGTGCCACCTAAGTGGCTTTCTGCCTGACTTAGCCCACCCACTTTTGCATTGAAATCACCTGCAACAACAACCAAATCCGGACGTTTGGTTTTCAGAAGGAGGTTAGACAGCTTTCAGTAGAACTCATCTTCCACTTCATCCTAACTTCAGTCAGTGGGTGCGCAAGGAGAGATTACACAGAAACATCGGCGAGCTTCACTTTTTGTTTAAATTCTCACTGTGCCGTTCAACTGAACAGCGTATAGGTATAGACTGGGATCCAATCTAGTAGTGAGCTTTCTACCCTAGTGCTTAGTGCTATGCCTACACCTGCAAGGCCACAAGAGCTGACCATCGAATCTCCAGAAACTCGAAGGATGAATTTTGCGGATTCACCATATTGACCGGGAAAGTTTAAGTGAATAAAGGTCTTGTATGGGTCTTGTATGTGTGTCTCCAAAACACAGCACACATCCATGCCCCGAGTTGCTAGGATTTTTGCCGATGAAGCTTGTTGGCCAAGTTGACGGAGGGTGCGGACATTGAAGGCTCCAATGCGTAATTTGGAGCGTAATCTAAGGAGA